GACACAGACATAGAAATTTGTTTCCTCCCTCAGTAGGTAGGAAAAAACTAGAAATCTCAATTTCTAAAATTTCACCTCAAAGTATGGTGTCCCAGTTTTCTGCCTTTAATGTTAGCTTTTTGATATCAGGTCTATGGTTCACTGACCTGTTCTCATACAAACTTGATTCATTAGGTGTCACTGTGGTTAAATAGAGTCTGCCCAATTGACTGGATCCATGGAAGGACCAGCACACTGAGCCACCTCATAAATGATCTTACATTTATGGTACTCCCATTATCCAAACTGCAGCAACAGAATTTCTTTCCAGGAGGGATGGATATGGTGTTTGTTGTTGCAGTCCATGTGCCGTCAAGCTTCATTTTTCATTTTTCACTTTTCCCTCTGTTTCCAAGCCATGAACTTTGGATCATGAAAGCGTTGGACATCATGTCAGGTGGCCATATCCCCAGGCTGTCTGAAACACAATTAATGTGGCTGCTAACGTCACACTGAATGGGTTACGTAACTCATCAGATTCTTGCTAGAATGCTAGCACTGTAGGTAGTTAGATCATCACGGCAGTGCATGGTTGTGTTCAAATGTTGTAGGGTAGAGTCCTGTATGTCATACTCATTTTTATCTTTTTGGCTGTTGTTAGTTTCCCATTTTGTGACTTTTCCATCTTTGGCATTGGTGAACTCATAAGACAGCTGCAAAGGTAACTCCACCCTCAATCCAGGGCTTCTCACATTACTCTCATTTCGAATCGCCGACTCCTCGGACATTCAGTCCATTCTTGACCATTAGCATAATATTGTGGTGACACCCTTCCAGAGTGGTAGCATGGTAAATAACAGTCTGTGTTTGGTGTTTCACTTGTTATTGGTTGTTTGTGCTCTTGTGGAACTTGTGCTGCGTTCCAGGGAACTGTGCCCTCTCCAGACATGATATCCTTAGTTATGTCGTCATCTTTAAATCATGCAATTTCACGTCAGTTTTTGCATTCTAATTGCCACTTACATATCATGTTTATGTTTGTGATTTTCACCCTTTATTGTCTCTGAGATGATCGTAGTCCTCTTAAAACCCGACTATATATCTACAATGGTGTCAGAATTAGTCTGAATAGCCTTGTTTCATTTATTGTAACGTTTGCTCAACACAGAAGCAGTCAAATCACCCAGTAAGCTGAGCAGAAAGCCGTCGTTCCATCTCTTGCCAGAAGATTTTGCCGACTTCCCCATGAAGCGCACAGCAAGCTGGAGTGAAGATAAGATGGTATTTGCTGTCTCGCTCGCTGTCGTACATTTCCTTCTAACCTTACCTTGTACTTTGTGTATGATGAGATGCAAATCTGATAGGAAGTAAATAACAGGACAAATTAAGCTAGGACTTGTACAGTGTTGTAGTTGGATCCATCATAAGTCCCTGCAAGTTCCTAAGAAGTCCATCACAAGTCAGTCTTCTGCTAAATCAGAATTTATTGAAATGAACGATGACAGAAGCACTTCATAGTCATTGGCCACCTTGGCATTTTTGATTGGTATTGTGAAAGGACTCTTGACTGGACTTGTGGGGAGACTTGAGAAAAATGCTTGAGATAATCTCGACTACAACACTTGACTCATGCGTTTTGTGTCTTCACTCACATTGGAACTGTTACTTTTTACACTGGTACTGGGCACAATGAATCACTTTCTTTTACAAGATTCTCCAGATCCCTACTGCTGTCTTTTGGATTGCAGTCGCTAACAGTCAAAACTATTTCATCTGGGAATCTACAAAGGCCACCCCCATTTAGATCCGTTTAACAAAGATCACGTTCCTTTTTGGGGGTGCAGGTTGTGGATATGTACAAGGGGCTGAATTCCAAGGATCTGCTGGCCCAGCTGTCTGAGTCCATGTCTCTGAGTGATCAGGCTGACATCCTGCACTTTCTCTATGTGGAAGAGTAAGTCAGTAGTGACATCAATTCTAGTAACGTCACTGGTGCAACTCTAGGGAGTGGCATGTTCACCCTAACAGAAGTCCCCTCCCACGGCCCCGTATACACAATCAATTGATAGGCCTTAGTTTATTTGTCTTTGTGCGTCCTTGAAAATATTTAGTGTCCTGTCAGATATTTGCAACCTAGATACCGTTATGCTGGTGAGCTAGGTTGTAATACTTGCCACCTGCTAGTGAGCCATTTCCTTGAAGGTGACCCTGGATAACTCAAAATCAGTTGGCACACCTAACAGGCTTTCATGAAATCCACACAGATGCATGGTTGTAATAGCGCCCAGTATCAGGTAGCGTTTATCACCGTCATAACTGCAGTATATTTTCATCAAGTGCCTCAGGTCAGAATTTGCTTGAGTGCTGCCAAAGTTGTAGTAGAGGTGCAGTTTTCAAAATCTTTGTGTGTACTTGTGACGATTGTTCGTTTTGTGTCGTTGGCTAACATGAACCTTGACCTTTTCTGAATATCAGAGGCCTGGACTGGGACACTAAGCTGAGCCAGAGAGTGGACCAGAAGGTGACTGTCAAGACCTTGATGGAAGAACTGTACTACAAGGTATGTTGGCTTAGGCTAGGAGACTGATCCATTACAAGCTGCATCGTATGGTCTTGCGTCCAATCACAGGTGTCATTTGTGTTCAACTTGCGTACACAAAATTGCTACATGCATGCATGTGTGTAGGAAGTGTGCGGCTGCAACATGCAATGATGCATTGGAGAAAAGCACATGCTAATTGCACGGGGTTTACACAAAGGCAAAAATAATCATTCTCTTCCTATGTAATTTTTTATTTGTACGTTCATTCGTGCCTGTCCACTTGTTTGTATGTGAAAAAGACGCCACAGTTAAAGGGTCCGTGGAAAGCATTTATTTCCCTCTTGCCCTTGAAAATGCCCCTGCTGTGTTTCAGTTGACCGAATTTTCAATTTTTGGGGAGCTGTTTTGATGGGCATTTTGGAGTTTTTGTGGTTTTTATGCTGACGTAATTTCCATAATCATGAGCAAAACTGTCATGCCATCCGAGGGACTGGACCTCAATGTTGCCTTGACTCAGACGTGCACAAAAGACAACTTGCATTGCTAACACTTTGCGGTGGCAATTTCCCTTTGGTGATTTGTTTTACCAGAACAAGTAAATAAGCGAACAGACAACCTTGTCTTGGAGATGTTTTATTAAGCAAAGTTTAGCTTCAAATTGAAGTAGAAATAAAAATAAACTGAGTAGTGTCTTCCCTGATTTACATCATGGCAACAGTTCCTTTAAATTTCTAGGTAAGCATGGACAATTTTAAGGTTTAAAAAGTGCAATTTTCAATATCGTTAACCCTGAAGAAGAATATGAACATGCATAAGAAGGTGTCTGAAAAAAATTCCTAGCAAGGACTCTTTAAACCCAATTTTGTGTTTTTCCCTTGCTGCCGTCAGAGTGCCCACTACAAGGCCTGGTCAGTGGTCCGCCACACGGCCGGCATCCTGGAGAAAAAGGTGGAGAATCTGGCCCAGGCCGTGACGGAGCTCCTAGTAAGGCAGAAGCAGGTGTCAGTGGGCATCCCCCCCGAGCCCCGGGAGAAGATCATCGTGGCCCCGTTGCCGCCCAAGAAGCTCCACAGGGTCATCTCGGAGGCCTGCGGGGAAGATAAGAGTTCGGCCGTGCTCACCCAGGTGAGAGAGGAGTCGGCTGTGTCTCATTGTTAGGGCTGTGGGTAGAAATAAGTAGACACGTATGGAGACAATAGCCACTTGAATAGAAGTGCCCCTCATGGGCTAAAAACAGCCATGTTAGTGGGGAGTGTTCAATGGCTACGTCCAAACTGTTGGCTAGAGCTAGGTGTAGGTGCTCTGTTAGAAGTACATGGGGAGTGTTCAATGGCTACATCCAAATCTGTTGGCTAGAGCTAGGTGTAGGTGTTAGAAGTACATGGAAACACGCTAACAGTAGACATATTTGTAGCTGTCTGAAGCTGTGGCGGACACAGCCTGTACAGTACACCGTCTTAAAGCTTAGTTTCCACCACATGATTGTTTATACGCAAAGACACACAAAAAGGAATCGGAAACAGCCTTTGTGCCTTCTCCAGTATAACGTACATTTGACAAATAAGGAAGTCTGTTTGTGAACTGGGAAAATGCAATTCAATCAAAGGAGCTGCCGTTGCTAGGAAACTTGTGCCTTCTCTTGGTCCCACTCGGGGTGGATTGACCCTTATGTTCTGGTCACAGTTAGTTGAAGTGGATGTGGCTGGAGAAGTTGACCCTTGAAGCTAGAATTTGAAGTTGGATCAATGAGTATTCAGTTTTTAGCTTATGGACTTTCCATAAACAGTATTGGATATCTTATCGTGATTAGTTTGTTAATTCAGGTTTTTTGTTGATTGAGGGTTGTGCTTTATTTATTTGTTTATTTTTTGATTCCAAGTATTCAATTAGTATTGTTTTGGCCATATTTCTTCTTGTTGTCTGTAACAGCTTTTCTTTAGCAGGTTCAGTCATCTCCTAGTTTTTTAAATGTAAACTCTTTGAACAGCTGCCAATGAATACATGTATTCAGATCTCCGGGTCATGAACATATTTCCTGGAGAAATTCTCTGTGGTCGTATGGCATTGGCTTTTAAATCATGGCAATGCTGTTGTGTCCCTAAACTCTGAAAGTGTTCAGACCATTAATCTATCCCTTTTTTCAAAAACATCTCCAAAATAGGAACTACTGGTGTATCTGTCCATGTTCATACGGACTGAACCCAAGCTCTTCTACGAGATGTTGCGTATCCGAGTCGGCCTCATTATGCAGGTCATGACCTCTGAACTAGCACGCACCATGGGATGCCAGGGTGAGTTGGACGTGGCATTGTTCTTCAGACTTTTCCTTGCCGAGAGCTAGTCTCAAACCTGAGCTGGTGTGTTCTGATTGGATTATTACGAGGCATGTCCCTTCATGGATAAAGACTCAGACAGTGAGAGTTGCAAAGGCTGGTATGTTGGCCCTATAAATGCACAAATAAATGCACAAGTTTTATTAAACCTTTGTACTTATAAATCTACATGGTGAATAAATGCACTGGTTTGAATAACACACGTTTTTAGAAGGTCCTCATCAGATTATTAAATTAAATATGGAAAACTGATGGTGATCGTATTAACTTTTGGGACATAACTAAATGCCAAAATTCAGTTTCGGTAAAGCTTTCAGTCAAAATCAGTCTTTCGTGTGACATTTAAAGTGAGAAGTAAAGTAGGAGGTTTAATTCCCAAAGTATTTGTCAAACTTATTTTGGAGGAGATCAATCTTGTGCTTGATATTTGGTGGTCAAACTGGCTTTTCTTCTTTCTGGGATCCTCTGCACAAAATGATTAAGGTCTTGTGTCCAGATGCTGCTTGTGGTGTTGATCTTGTTGACCCTTCTCAATTGGCTTCTTTCCTTCCAGGGGATAAAGCCTATGAGCACCTGATGTCTCTCAGCCCCTATGAGATGAAGGACCTCCTTCATCACATCCTCAGTGGCAAGGAGTTTGGCGTGGCAGCAGGTAGATGAGCCATTACCTAATACGTTGACCAAGGGCGACTTAGAATGTACATAGGAATAAAAACCATGCTGTACAGAGTTCAAGGCTGTATAAGATGGGTGAGGGGTCACGGCAGGTGTTGGGAACAGTTAATCAGAAGTGTGAAAGGCATAAATGGCCTCTTAATGTATGAAACGGTCAACTTATTAATTTATCGCTTTCCAAAAAAGCTTGGACGTTGGTGCATTAAATCTGTATGGCTTTTCTATTGCCTCTTGATGGCATTGGAGTGTCTTTCAGCATGTTCGACTTTGTGCTTGGTATTGTTGTTCAAGCCACAAATACCTTTTGTCCTGCAGCGAGTTCCAAGTCAGTCGGCATTGGAGAGAGACAGCTGTCTATCGTCAGTGCCCAGAAGGACGAGATCATGGGTCTGTCACAGATCAAGCGCCAGTTGACGGTAAGCGCCGACAGAAAACCCACATTCCTCCTCCTGGATCAAAAGTTCTTTACGATTTACAAAAAAAAATCAGATTGGTAAGGAATAATTTTTAACAGCAAAGATGGTGGCATCTCAGAGTTCAGGCTGCTCCCACCAGAAAGACACGCAAAGTCACAGCCAGTTGAGGCTTTCCATGGTTACATGTGTCTCTTCCTGGTTGCAGCCCAAACCCTCCAATGCAGATTATTGTTCTCAAAACGTGTCACCTCTTACCATGAACTTAGAACAAGTGGCACACAAATGCGGGGCATTTATACCATGAATGCTTTTCTGTGTTCAGAAGTGGGTTTATTTTTTGTTGCATTTGCCTTGTCTTTCCTGCAACTTGCTCTTACGAGGAATTACCAGACAATGTGCCAAAATGAAGCCAAACCTCTCCAGGGTTGTTGCGAACACTTCTACGAGTCTTAATGGTAGCACTTTCTGTGTGATGGGGTCCTTTTGTCATGGGAACTGTTCTGATGTTAGTAACGTTTCACCACCAAGTCTGTTGGCATCATCTTTATACTTGGTCCACCGCACAGCAAAAAGGGAGAGGTTATAGTGCAGATGGCATGAAAACGTGCCTGTTCATCATATGCTACATTTATTTTTCCACTACACAAAAGTTCACTGAATCACCATCTTCTTATAAGTTTCTGACAGTGTGTAAATTGACTTTTTCAAGTGGTGCAGTAAAACTAGCCTCCTGAGGGGATTCATGATGCTCTTCTATTTTTCCCTGAGGCAAAGCCAAGCAAAAATAGAATACTCGGGTTACTCTTACTGATGTAAGAAAAAGAGCAGCACTTTTAGCACTTCTTCCGCGTTTTTTCATGATTTAACTGATTAATGTAATCGAAATGCAATTAAGATATACGTTTGTATTGAGATATAAAAGTTTTAAAAATTCAATTGTTTTTTTCCCAAATATTGTGAAATGTTTGAACCCAGCTGTGTAATGCGCCCATTTGTGAATACACATAAGATGCACCCCCGTACACAATTGTACTCAATATCAGTTGTTATGGACATAGTTCTTTGGCTACCATGGGTCTGGTACTTTTGGCCTCGAACTGCAAGGCAGCGAAATATATGTGGCTTGCTCTGTTGGCGAAGTGCATAGAGACTATTCATCACCGGGTCGTATGTCATTGATGCTTGATAAGAGTTTGTGACTTGCGGTTCTGAAATAGAATTGACTCATCCCAATTTACATTCTCACCCTGTTGCCCTCGATCACCTGCTGGTTTGACATGGCAGTCCAAGTCCATGAGTCTCCGAGATGTCGAGTTGGAAGAGGATGTGTTCCAGGAGAAAGTGGGCCAGTGGCTGCGGCGGCGTCGACTGGACGGTGCCCTCAACCGCGCACCGCCAGAATTCTACTACAAGGTCTGGAAGATTCTTGAGAAGGTGAGTCTGTTGTCAGTGAAGCAGCTGACCACAATCTATTATCAGGAAGCCATTATCAGACGCACCTGTCGTAGAGCATGGTATTAGCTAACGAGGCAAGTTCTCCTGCATAGCCAAAGGACACAGAGACCTGAAAGTGACCATTTCAGCTAGGTGCCTTGGATCCACACGAAAGCTGTTACAGTAAAGACCGTTCACTTACTGTGCATCATGTGCCTGCAGAACTATATATGTAAGGTGATGTGTTGCGTTCAAAACGGACATTATTGCTTTAAAAAAACCCATTTCTTGTTGCAGGGTGGAGTCCACGAATAGCCTTTGTGCATGGATTTCCCTTCTGAATTATTGTTTTTTCCATTAAAATAATGATCCATGTGATGAATTTTTATCACATATCTTTCATTTGTAACTTTTACTCATTTTTAATTCATGAATATTTGACATCAATTTTCGGTCAAGTATATTGAACAAGGCACTTTTTATACATTTGAAATTATCCATACTGTTAGGATAATTTAGGGAACTGTTGCTTTGATGTCATTCAGGGAAGATTCTGTTCCGATGACATACTTTTTCTGTTCAAATATTGAAACAGAATTGAAACAGAAAAATGATTTTGAGACAATAAAAATTAGGACAGCGAAACAGCAAAGTTCCAGGTTTTCTGCTTGGGATGAAATTGCAGTTTTGTTCATGAATATGGAAATTTGCATTGGCATTAAAGCCAAATAGGCACTGAAATAACCTTTGAAATAACATAACAAACGCAGAAAATAGAGTCAAACGATTCACACTTGTGCATTTTTAGTGGGTTTAGTAAATAAAATTACACTGTGTGGACCCTTTGATTTACCTACAGTGCCATGGGCTGAGCATTGAGGGGTACAGCCTCCCCCATCACATGACCCGGGAGATGACGGAGAACGAGTTCAAGTTTGCCCTGCAGGTGGAGACGGCACTCAACCGCATCCCCCAGCCCGAGTTTCGGCAGCTGGTGGTGGAGGCCCTCATGGTCCTATCCCTGGTCGTGGAGAACGACTGGCTGAGCAACCTGGGGGCCATCATTCAGGTGGAGGGGCTGGTCATCGAGGCCAACGAGATCTTCCTTAGAGATCAGGTATGTTTGCACAGCCAGCGTTGTTCGACTTGGAAACTGTCTGGTGAGAGAGACGCTGTATGGTCATTTTTTCATCATCTGGTTAATGGATCGAACGAGCAGCATCGTGTGATTGAAAAATTGATGTACGATCATCCCACATGCATGGCTGTCAGAGAAGTGCCAGCAAAGGACTCGCTATGGAGTTCAAAGAGTTTAAATGATTGATTTGGCCAGTACACACACAAAAAAGTTGACTTTTTTCACCATTTCTGCATCTTTTGCACTCTTTATGCATGAACATAACTTCAGCAACTGCGAGCTACCCCCCCAAAAAGCACCATCATTCAACCACCATTACCACCACACTTCTGTAATATAAACCATCCTTTAAAATGAAATTGCACGGTTGGTTCAGTGAAATTCTATCCACATTGGGTTTTTTGGTACTGGTTCATCCAGAGAGGTCCTTCTGCTGTACACTTTGCACTGCAATTTTCATTTGGTACTACTTCTCATAAGGGAAGCAGTTTTTCTCCAACATGGCCCAACGGATAACAATACAAATGGCTAAAATACTTTTGATTTTTCCTTTGCAAAGCCAAGCGTAACATAAATTCATGTATTTAACCACCGCTAAGTGGCGTTCAAGTACTGTCAAAGGATGGTCTGTCGTGCTCACTTTCTTGACCAATTTTGCTTGTACTTTCCTGCCTTGGTTCAAGGCAAGGCAGACGTGGTGGCACAAAGCTGAACTGAATTAAAGAGAGTTACACCTTCTATTGGTGGGTATACGAACGAGTTCTTCACTTGAAAACTTGCACCAGGATTGGAATGTCAAAAAAGACTGCATCGAGTATTGACTGTCAGCTATTCACACCATAATTGGAACAGTCATGGATGCCCTTATACTCCCTGTTGATCGTATTTCATGATTGCACTACATAAATTGAAGGCTTCAAGACAAAACATCAGTCAATGCGTACTTAATTCATTGGACAAACACCTGACCTGCCTCTTGTCCCATGCTTGAACCACGTCTACATTTTCAGCGCCGGAAGAGATTGAGGACAAAGTCGATGGACGCAAGTGCCCAAACCAACCTGAAACCCACATTTCCAAGTTCGGAAGGTTTGCAGAGGGCGGAGGCCAAGGGAACCAGCCTTGGCCCTGATGCCCAGTCGTCCGCAGCCCCATCATCTAGACTGCGGCGTTCCCGGAGCAGTTCCGTCGGATTTGAAATGCAGGAGGTGAGGGACCAAGTACAGCGATTAGACTGCATTCATCAGGCTCGGCGTGGGAGCACCGCTCACAGTCACCCACAGACAGCTTCAGCTATACACATTTCATTTAGCTCTAAAATAGACTTCACATCTTGCCTCTGGCAACATTCTGAGCAAAGAGATAGCTATTCAACCACCACACTGTGGAAACTCCTCAACTTTCAGGATCGAATGGAAGTCAGTCAACAAAGTATGAGGGCTTTCATTTTGTGTGTGTGTGTGCTTCAGAAGTTCTGCCTTTATAAGCAACATTCTTGCAGGTGGGAGTGCCTTGGTTGTTCTGTGACAGGAGATGTCATCTGACCAATCTTGTCAACTTCCATAGCTGGAGGATGGAAGGCATACCATCTAGATTCAAAGCCATGTTCACCTTGTTTCAGTGTATAACATCTCATTCCTGGCCATATAAACCTGCACAGACAAAGCACAGTTGATGAGTGACCTCCATTTTTTCAACATAGCACTACCTTTACGTATGCACATACTTACACCGGAGACTTGAAATTCATGCATAGTCACAACTTCTTAAAGGCTTGTCAAGGATCCTGTTTTCATATATTTTTCCTACCTCTTCACATCCCCCAGATGGAGGTCAAAGGTGACGCCACACTGTGCTGTGCTGTGGATCAGCCCCGCCCCACGCCACTGGCCTGCGGGGGCGTGGCTGGCATCTGTTGTCACTTCTACGACAGCGCTCCCAGCGGCATCTACGGCACCATGGCCTACCTGGCCAAGGCAGGGGCCAAGAAGCTGAGTTTCCACCACCAGTTCGACGAGAACGCTGAGGTGGACTGCAGGGTCAGCTGATGGCTCGCCGGAGGTTGAACACCCCTGATGCCTCAAAGACTTTTGAGTCTACAATTGGTAATATACACCCACTGCCGTGTTGCTGCATTGAGACCCCTAACCTCAAACCTACCTCGAGATCAGACGGCCAATCCGAATAATGAGTGTTGAGTAATCGCAGGAAGCCCTTTATCTTGAGCCTTGGGGCCCTAGCTGCCCACACCTTGTGGCTGAGCGTAGTTCAGTTTTGTTCTGCAAAACTTATTTTCCCACCCAAAACACCATACAATGTGTATTGCATGTGATCTGGCAGACGACTGATATTTTTTCCCGTTCAGATTTTCAATTTTATGAGCACTGTTTGCATGAAATTGGGCAGAAGCCACAGGGCTGCAGCTTCAAGTAACATATTCACCTATGGAAGTTGCCAGTTGAGGATTTATCTATTTCCCCCATAGTTGTGAACAGGGTAGACATAAACCTGAATGATAAAAGAGAAAAAAAAAAGAAACCGCTAAAGGAAAAATAGCTTGACTTTACCTTAGAATTGATCACCTTCGACCATTTATGGTCTGTCAGTTTGCTGCTCAGGAGGACTTTGCCCCCCCCAATCCTGGCAATGTATTGTCCTGGCAATGCCAATTGTTATGTTACTTCCAGTTGTTATTGCTTGTTATCACGCTTCTTACCAGAAGCAGGTATGTATGTGTGTTCCTTATGGAATAAACATCACCTTTAACTATCACATTAACTATTCATAAATACCTAAGATAGTTTAGCCATTCCTTTTGTTTGAGAGCCAACGGTTAATAAAGCACGGTCTGGTTATGTGCCACCTTATGCAGCATATGTCATGCAGGCACCAAACTCCATACACGGAGACAGAGATTGTTTGTGACTACTTGTGAAAGGAACATACCATAACGAGAGGGGTGTCTGAAAAAATGAAGTGGAAAAAAATTGTTGGACAAAATCGGTTCAAATCGATAATTTTTAAAACTTCTTTTGACAGAAATGGAATTAATGAAGGGGAATAAATATGTGCTCAGCCGGAGTGTTAGTTGAAGACTGGCTCATGAGATTGGACACCGATAATATCCCTCCTTTTCAGCTTTTGCATTATCAGCATCTATTCTCCTGATCCCGTCTTAAGACCGGCCAAGCACAAATTTACTCCTACAGCAACTGACACAGTACTTAACAGTTTCTACAATAAGAGATTAACTTTCAGATGTTACGGCCTAGGTTGTGTTGTTCGTGTCACAAATTGCTTTGTTTGCTGCCTTTTTGGGGGGGGGGCTTTGCGGTTTCCAATCATTAAATCTCTCTGTTTTGTCACAAATTTTAGGTTTCTAGATGGACATGTTAACAAGTGTGCTCATAATGGACCCAGTTTAATCAGCATGTTTGGCCGCATAACTATGACTAAATTTGGGATTGAGGTAAAAGGACTGTTACTTATTTGTGTGTGCACCTGTAGATACTGAAATATTTGTTTATTGAATGAGATACAAAGCCTTTCTGCTGTTCTTAAAAGCCCTTTTCATTTTATGACCCGAGATGCATCAATTTCATGTAATTTTCATGTTCTTTGTAAATTTCGAACCACAAAACAATCACCTTTGGATTGCCAGTGTTTTGGCTTTTTTAAACATGGCCAAAGTAAGCTGTAGTCCAATATGGACAGAATTCAAAATTGGATACAGTTACCATTGCTCCATCTGGCATTAATAAGAAACATTTTTGACTCTGAGGATCAGAAAATGTTCTAAATAACTTTAGATGATAATAACTACTTGTCTTAGTTTTCCAAACCGTGTCGCTTCTTGCGGATTGGAAATGGGCAACAGATTGGTTTAATGAAACAGTTGGAGTGGGGCTTGCCACCAACCGAAGGAACCTTCCCTGAGGTCTGAAGACTTTATTGTCCACAGGTGGACGCATCATACTAATGAGCAACTGAGATGCATTGAGGAAAGGAATTTAGTTCCCCCCTCTGATTTGCCTCATTAATGCCGTATTTTGAGGCAATTACGGCCGTATTCTGACTTGGGCTTAAATTTGCACCTGCCAACAAACTCGTGCTGTCAGGATGGACGGGTGGAACAAGAGGGAAGTGTTGGTTTCCAACAGTATGACAAAAAGAATGGTTCCTGTTTATTCTTGTGAGCCTTTTACATTGTACTGGATTTCAACGGCCATCATGGGTGTCTTGGGGGGGGGAGAGTTTCACTCCCTCATCCCAGGAAAAATTTCACTTTCTTTTAGGAAAAAAAACGGTAAAGGAAGCAAGAAGAAAGGACAAAGGAAAGTTCCCTTGAAAATTCCTTGGATATGACCCCCATCTACTGTTTCAGGTTTGTCAGTCTGTCACTACTGAGCGCTTTGCCCTTCTCAGAAAGAGCTCTGCCACCTTTCTAGTGATGCCCATGGTGGCCATTGCAAAAAGGGGGCGGAGGCTCATATTTTTGGAAGGGTCAGGTTGCAAGTTACATGAGGTATTGTGGATGGATGTGCATCGTTTTTATAATCAGGCGTTGTACGATTTTTCGTTTAAAGGAACACCTGTGCTAATCTACGCACTGTTATTCATTTTGGGTGAGTGTGAAGAGATATTTCATTCATGTGTGAAGCTGTGTAAAAGGTGTATTTTTATGAACTCAGGTTTATGATGTTAGATGAGTATGTAGTGCAAGTGCATGACCAGGGAAAACTGAAGGTGTTTTTATGAGGGCCATGACTGGCAACTCCACCATAGGCCTACTGCTGAAATAAGTATTGCTAATGAGTGTTAACATCTGTTTTGTTCAACCACTTGAATCCTAGCAGTTGCCTATTATGGTAGGCATTTTTAGTAATGATTGTAGTGGTCGAAAACACTTTGAAAGCTTTGTTGTACTTTTTAAATGTATCTGAAACCAAAGAAATTTATGCCGTGTTATTTCTTGGTTTTAGAATGCCACCTCTTCTCCATAAAATTGCCAAATATTGTCAGGTGTGTGTTTTAGAATACATTTATCTGGTGATCCACGTAAAGTACTGACATGATTTCAAGTTTATGCATATTTTGCAAATGTATACAAGTAATTAGTTGACTGCATTATTTGTTCCTTTGAGAAAACAATAAATATGTGAATAGAGCTTTGGAATGCATTATGATGTCACCAGGTAATACTTGTCTCACTTGACTGAATCACTTTGTATGTTTGAGCATGGACTACTTTGGGGGATCTAGAACCAAATTTGCTGGGGGAGGGGCAGACTTTTTGGGGGGGTGCAAATTTCTTTATGTAGCCTTTAATAGCCTTTCTGAGGGGTGGAGCTAGATATTTGCGCTTTTTACACATTTTTTGATAGAGGGGAAATGAAACATTAAAGTACCCTTTTTTTAAGAAGAAGAAGACCCTATTTGAGAAGAGCTTGGCCCCTGTTACCTCCGATCCCCGGGATCCACCCTTTGGCCTGAGGCTTGCCTTTGAATGATGCTGGACCAACCAGTGTCTCATGACCAAATCCGGGCACAGTCATACCCGATACTTCCGAAAAGTGACCAAATTCTTCGAACTTTTCTAGACCCACTGTCAGTGCCACATATTGACAGTAAACTTTTGCAAACGTGGTGTGTGGATGGCCATTTTTGCGTGTGTGGTTTTTTTTTTGGGGGGGGGGGGTTGTTTTGGGTTTGTTTACTTTATAAGTGGAACGAGCGCTTACACAAATTTCGACATCAGTACAAGCCGGCGCGCGCGCTGCAGGTATCGTCTGCTCGACAAAGACGGGCGTCCCTGACATTGTATCATACGTACGCCACATTGTTGTTGAGACAGGGAACCAGGCTGTAAAGATAAATATTTATAGTGTTCATCTCACTCTGGTGCTGCTTGACAAAGTTCCTGAAGTATCGATGTCCCAGCTAGTGTATGCAGGTGGAGAACCGTGCTCACGTTTTTTCCACGGTTTATTGAAGTTGCTCGGTCGGGTTACAGGCTTTGTACTTCCTCCATGGTAATAATACAGTGTCATTGTACTTTCTTGAGTTGGCCTGTGTAACATGTAATGTGCAAGCTCACTGCGACTGCTAGCATCGTGTGATGCAATAATTAGGTGTGGCTTTTTTTTTCAAACATTCGTCACGTATTCCTTATATGTACATGTAGAACGGGACCTACATACAGTATCATATTATCATATACATAAATGTTTGGAACATGGTTTATCCCAATAATTAGGTCCTTAGGCTCTATGACAATTCAGTGGGATGCTATTTGTTGACGTTAAGGACCCTGTTATAATATGCACAACACTGTTCAACTACCTACATAATGTAAGAATTTACAGTTTCTTGTACACGCAATGTCCTCCCAAAGAAACTCTTCAGTCCTTGAGTTGTATTAAGGAAGGCTTCACATGGCTGCAGTGGTGGTTTGGGACCGAGATAGTCATACACTTGTAAGAAAATACTAAGAAGATTAACAATTGAGTGAGCAAAATGTGGAGGGATTTCTATGGCACCAGTCACACGGCTGGGAACTTCGGAACGCTTCTTGCCTGGTTCCTAGACCTATTCCTATACCAAGTGACACTTGGGTCTTGAACGTTTGGAGTGGCACCATAGACCTGGAGGAGAAAAAAATCCTCCGGGTCTATGGTGGCACTAAACCGAACTTACGTGCGAACGAACACCTGGTTTATCGGCTAACTTAATTTCTCGAAACTTTTCCTTGAACTCATACGGTGTTTTACAGAAAGTAATTTAGCGAAGGTTTGACTGGTAAATTATTTTATGCTGTGTGAATTCATCACTTCAGCACTAATCAACATGTACCTTTGTGCAGCATGATAATCTGGCCAACATTGGCCAGATTATCATTCGGTTTAGGGAAGGGGAGTGCACGCCCGTGTTGTTGAAGGACGGGCCAGGGGCATGCTATCTCAGATCACGGTGACTTCTTCTCAGTTCAAGCCTATTTTGGGGAAGAAGTCGACGGCGGGACTAAAGTTGTACTAAAAGAGGGCGCAATTTTCCTACAAACTGTTCGTTCGTCGCCCAGTGCCCATGATAGGCCAGGTAGGGTGGGGTGCCTTACGCAGATTCTAATGGAAGGAACAACGTCTCACAGTTTCACAGCTAACGACGCGTAGAGCATTGTGGGATAATTTCTGCTATAGCGCGCGAGCTCCGTCAATGCGTTACACAGGCGGCAGTTAGCAATTTGATATTTTTTCTTTTTCTTCCTCATTGCTGAAAAATTCTGACTATCCTTTATTCGTTAATATAAAATTGATCAAGATAACCAATGATTTGAAATATATTGTAAAAAGAAACGTGATCAGTGTGAGAAGAGATAGATTACCACATTGTGGTTATATATAACACATATACATATATATATACACATTGTGGTTGTACCAAGGCCATGTTTGTATCATATAGCCGACACTTCGCCGTGCTAAAACATTTCCATTGGCCAAAATAAAATAAATTACATAATGCTTTGCTAACAGGAAGTGATAACCTCGCGGTAACAGGTCGTGCACAATGTGGCCAATCACAGTGCAAAGCCATCAGCCCAACCTGTTCGGGCGCTGGACGACGAGCAAATAGAAACGGAGGCCCCTGTGGTCGGAACTGCACTTCGCTGGTTCACAAACGACGATGAAATGCACACGTTACGGTCTTGTCGCTAGCAGCAAAATTAACACTCCCGAAAAACATGGCTAGTTTCAGAGGATGGAGGGTGCTGCAGCCCAAGGCGGCTAGTAAGCTCACTTTCCCGGTAGGGGCTTACATAGATTTTTTTCCAATCGTGTTGTCGTCACTGATGTATAATTTTACCAACTGTCATTTCAAGCATCAGTACGTGCCTGACTTTTGTAGGCCTACCAGTTAAATTATGATTTGATGATGTTTTATTCGTTGGTCTGCGAGAGATCTGGGTGTACACATGTGTGTATGTGCTCTAAATTAACAGGCCTACATGTAATAACACAGAATTGCCACCTTGGGTTTCCAGGGTACGCATGGTTGCCTCTGAGGGTCACCACACAATGGATCATTGTCGATAATTTTATTTGTTGGTCAACGACATTAGAAGGAGTGCTGTTTTTCTATCCTGTTTTGGTTTGGAGCCCATGTGGTTTTGTGGCTGTTTGGAATTGAATGACCCATTACACAATCATCTGCACTTCCGATGGCTTGTTAATTGGATTGCTGGTTGGTCAGATCAGAAAATGCGCTGTTGTGGAGTCTTCGTGTGTTAAAATCATGGAGAATGGTTCCCATCAAAAAGAGTTATACTATTGTTGCACGTTCTCTTCCCAAGAGAAAGCTTGGAGGAATTGAAAATGGGGAAAGTTTGTCGGGGCTTTACGTATTCTGATGAGAGGGTTATTGTCAACAATGAGCGCCGAATTAGTTCATATAATTCGTGATTATTTCAAATTCCATCAATATTTTTGCCATAGAGTTTGGCGCAAACGTCACGGATTCTCCGCTTTGTCGATCTAGGTTGAATTGAATTCTGGCAGGCTTCTGCAATGAGACTTCTACCCCGAATGATCTACTTATCATTCATGACTTGAATAAGTCCACGACCTCTTGTGGTGCACGCATTGCGGCCGTATCTCAAAATGAGAACGTTCTACTCCATGATCGCGCCAGTTCTGTCCACGTGGCTAGCTGCTCAGATATTGATAGTTGTTCAGTTAGGGATTTATTACGGATTTAAAAGAGGTGCTGCATGACAAGTTTTGAATGTTTCACATTCATGCATTGAAAACAACATTTTCATTCGGTGATCGACAGATAATTATTTCCATTCCACTCGGCTTGACCTCGTGTTATAGAACATTCCAAAGGTCTCCACGGGAAGTTATCATAAACATGTTCGCGTTACTCATAAACATTTCTACTTAAAAAGAATCCCATCAGAAGTATTGCGCTTTCCAGGTAGTCTTATAGAGGGATCCCAATACGACGCTTTTAGCATCGATCTGCGCACTTCCGCGTTTGAAAACGAGGCTGTATGTGTCAGCTTCAATTCTTAATTTGATCAGACGATTGAAAGTAAGAAGTAAAGACACAGATACGTAGGCCTAAAGGCATATTAAATTCAGACTTTTCGGGCTGCAAATTTTTGTGGAAGAGTCTTTCAGGATGATCCGACACGTGAAATCAAAGGAAAAAATAATGGCAATTTACCGCGAACTAACGTACCTGCGATGGTCGTTTATATCTTGTGCAGTGGGCATGGTTTAAACTCAAGTGGCACCACACGAGCCGGATACTGCATGCACATGTACTGTGTCGACTCCGCAGGCGCGTGTGACGAGCCTCGATTTCGATGCGGTATGAGCAGACGGCGCTGATGTGAAATCCATCTATAAGTCTGTTGTGTTGAATATGCCTGGCAAACCGCAGCGAGGAATGCGTACAAATGGCCTTAACGGAAGGAAGTGTGAGCGGGCCATTGAAAACAGGGATAGGGGTGCGAGTTTGATGATAATTTTCTCTCAGGTTTTCTGGCTTTGTTAAATTTTTCCTTCACAGAATGCATTAAATCGTTTTGGTATTTGTTTCCATAATCTAAGCGGGATTTTTAGTGAGCCTGTAAAAAGATCTTAAATAATCGTGATTTTCCTGCGCGCACGAGATTGTCGTAATCCCCCGTATCTAAGCCGGCCTCTTTTCGTGCTGTTTTATAATAAAGATACATGTATACTACCAGTACGTATGATGGAAGGGGACCATATTAAACGGCGATCTCTCGCGTGAGCACAGGACAAATCTCAGTTGTGAAGTGTTTTACAGAGCACCAAAGACTCCCGCTGAGATAAGAAACTAATAGCAAAAATGATTTAATTGGATTTTCTAAAGAAAAAAATCAACAAAGCCAGAAAACCTCGGAAAATGATCATCATAGTCACACCATTGTATCTTTTTAAGGGCCCGCTCACACTCTTTGTCTTGCCGCTGAGGCCATTTGTGCGCATGGCGAGCATAATTATGAATTTATTATTGAAAAGGTCTATTAGCTAGCGAGGAATTGAAACTTGGCTGTGTGGTGTCTTGTGCATGTGACCGTGACTGACTGTTCAAGGTTATGACAAGCAGGGACCGGTGATACCCCTAAAGAAGAAATCAGTATTGAAGGCCTCTGTGTCATATTATTT